AAGGAAAGCAGAGAGAAATTTGTATTCATGCGGTCTATACGGAGAGTGAAAATTGGAACTGATTGGAAAGCACTTAGAAAAAGTGTTAAACCATAGGACCCATGCTGGTTGGAGATCTAGAAGAGTCTGTCAGGAGAATTCGCTCTGGGAGGAGATGATGACTGAACTCAGGCCATTCGGAAAATCGCAGAGGAAGTAGAGAGACAGCATCGCGGAGGATTTAGGGGAGAAGGATGCGATGTACAAAAAGGGGTTGAAGCGCACCGAAATATAAATAATTTCTTGTAAAGTTGGAAAAGTACTAATGGATTTAGCAGCCAAGTAGAATCGGCGGCGAAAACTAAAATTCAACACGTTTTCTCTTGCTTGAAAATTGTCCGTAATTAAAATATCGCTAATGAACCCTAATTATTCATCGCTGATGATGTTTTCTTTGAAAATTACAATTTAATGCCAGTTTTTTAAGTTAAACCCGCCTCAATATTCATGCCGTTTATAATTCGAATTGAACAAATTACATTAATTAGGCAAACGTGATTAACTACCCTACAATTAGTCTGGTAAGTTATAATTACCATCCGCGCCGACCGAGACAACTTACACTATATCTTCTTACCAGAAAAAGCTTGATTAACGATCCTGGCAAATTAATAAAGAGTAACGTTACCAGTTTCATCCCTTAATGGAGAGTACCTTTTCGGAATTAAGGGGGTAACTTAATATATTCTAATTTTATTCAACAATTTTAACTTGAAAATTCGCAGGCTGACTGAGACAAATGAACGGAAGCTTAAAGTGCCGCTAAGTTTAATTTAATATTTTCGTTTGAAGGAGGGCAGAATCGGGTATTAACATAAAAAGTGTTTCATCCTTAGGTGCGAGTGTATCAACGCCTACAGTAATGATTGGTCACCCTGTATTTCGCATTTCACTTTGCTTCAAGCGTAAATGTGGTTGTTTATTTGAGATTAAGCGCAATGTCAATCATATCATTTAAATTTGTATCGGAATTTGTAGCTAATTTTGTTTAAATAATCGCCTGTATTTTGTTTATTTTAGTGTCAAGTTATTACGTGTTGAAAAATTAAGTGTAAATGTTATCCTCGACCCGTGGCGATACGAATTTCGTTATCGCTGCCTAAGCTAATTCAATTTCAAAATAAGCACGTGTTTTTGAAAGAAAAATTCAGTCGACGACTCAGTGGAAGTTGAACGGATAGGGAAGAATGTTTTAAATAGAAAAGACGGACGTTAATCGAGGCTTGTTTGGTGGTGGACGTTGATACGTGGCCGTTTTCTTTGTTTTGTGTTCGGTATTCAAGCGATATGGCGCACTTAAAATATGCTGGCTCGATATTGCTAACTTCACACAGGTGATTATATATATTTCAGTCACGAATTCTCGTAAGTAAAGTTTCAGACTTGAAACTTTTCTTTAAGTTCGTAATCTACCTAGTTTCATTCTCAACATTTCCATGCCTTTATTTATCTTGATTGGGCTGACTTGCGTAAAGGTTTTTGTCTCGATGGAGTAACTTAAGACCATCGTGCACACGGTCCTACATCAAAAAAATGATTCAAGATTTTAAAACCTCTAATGCGTGTGTTCTCAGGTTTTATTAATATTTTTATAAGCTTAAAGCAAGGGTTGATTTTTTCCGCCACTCTACAGAAATATACTGGATACGATGCAGCTCACACTGCGAAGGTTACATTATGTTAATCCACCCCCTGTATTTCACTAAGTGAACATTTTAATTTCTACATTAGCAGTTATTTTCTGAAAAATTCTTGTAGAACAATACGATTTATTTCCTCCGCTGTTCAACAAAAAAGCTGTAAAGTTTCAACGTTAAAAGTGCTCTTCTATAACCAATATAAAACTTTGGCTCAAATGTCCACAAGTTTTCTTTAAAAAAAAAAGAGTAATAAATCAATTTCGCGTGGAAAGATCGCCCTTTTCACCTACTGATATCGAATTTACTGCCACCTTGAAAAGCCCGACTAAAAATTTCGGGCCAATTTGATTTGCAAGTTTGAAATCGGGGATTGGATTGCAACACATTAAGAGTTGTGGCGTGCTTGTTTTTTTGAGGGTGCAAAATATCCTTAAAGGGGGTTCCGGTTCACTAACCGGGTGGCGAAAGGACGCATGCGTCTCGTTTTGGTCGATATTACAATCCATTCTACCCTAACCGTTGCCACGTGACTTACGTGCACGCCGGGTTCTCATCTCTTTTCACTATCATGCATCGTGTACGGCCTAAAACTGGGTGGAGTGGAAATTGCGAGGGATGAAATTTGCCGGCATCGCGCGTTTTTACGATGATGCGTATAACTACAGAAGAACGGCACATTTCCTATAGGAAAATTGGCTCGATGCGTAAAAAAAACGGGAACGCGCGCGTGTTATTTAATCATTTTTCATCAACATTTGTGACACTTTTAAGTTGACGAGGGGGGGGGGGCGTAAACATGCGATGTGGGGCGAACATCCTGCAAGATTGAATAATTTACATAATTTTAAATGAGGGGGTTAATTAACGATCTTAAAAAATTCAACTTGAGGGTCAATCTCAATTTATTGGTCATCCCGTTTGCGGGCCGCACGGATTTATTTTCAGAGCATTACGACCTTCGTTAGAGCTAATCTCGTGTTATTAGGACAAATAGGTCCAGAAAGTGTAATTATTTCTACTAATTTATTGAAACACGGCCGTAATTCTGCTTCAGTGGAATAATAGCAATTGAGAAAGCAAGCACAGTGTCCAACATATGGATGGTTATATGGGGATCTGGAAAACCATAGAAGATACGAAGATGGTCGAATTAGGGAAACGTTGCGCAATTAGATATTGTATATCAGACTGATGTAAAGAAATTCAGAAAATTCCGATTACATTCGAAAATATGCCATAAAAACCCTACTTTCTTATAATATATAATATATCCAGATACAACGTATCGTTTCGGACAAATCATGTTCAATTTTTTTTATATGGCCTATAAAAATAGTACATACTGTATACATATTGAGTAGTTTTGTGATGAATTTACGACACGCAAAAAAACAAAGGTTGGAAACAGTTGGTTTCAACAGGATGGTGCACCTGCGCACAATGCTTTAATCGTGGGAAATTGGATATATTTTCCATTTTCCAGGAAATGTAGCTTCTACATCTACCTTGCTATGGAAATCCTTATAACAGATTCAAATTCTTAAAAGTGGCCATAGAAGGTGATAACTGAAACCGTCCATTTTCGACCGTTTAAACTAGGGAAGATAAAACGAAATTTGACATTTTCAGTTCAGGTCCATTTAATTATGGTCATGCACATCTTCACATAACTGCCACTTAAGGGTCAAGTGTAGAGCAACCTAATTTTTCATTGAAACCTATACTTTACATTGAATATTCTTCTCCACACCGGAAACGTTTTTGCCCTACACTTACCATTTTTTTAAAACACTCTTCCAAAAGCGCGATTTCTGGTTTGAGCTGGGAAGCTCTACTGTCAAGAATTTGGCACATTTTTTCCTTTGTTTTGTCATAGCGTGATCAAATTGAGTCTCCAATTTGGCGCTAGATGAGCGTTTTGAGCCGTCGTAGGCCGCATATTAACGTTATTAAAATTGCAGATAATTAAGATCGAAACCTGCAACCTGTTAAATACTAACACTGCCTCTTAAACATTAACAAATAACTATAGACAAGTATAACTCTCGCCAGGAAAGATTGCCGGTCACAGAACACTTGATCCCGATCTACAATCTCTGTTTTTCGTAAGGTGCTAGCGACTTCCGGAATAGTATCGTATCAATGTTGAACAAAAAGCCTTTTTGTTTAACATTAGCACGATCCTATTCCAGAAGTCGCTCGCATTTTAATAAAAACAAAGATTGTAAATCGACACAAGGTGACCGGCAATCTTTCCTGGCGAGAGTTATAGGTAGTTCGCTACATAATAAATATACAGGGTGATTCATGAAAGCCCTGGCATATCTGAAGAATCGTTGTGATAGGTAAAGTCTTCCATAGAACGTATACGTTATTCGTGTCTGTGCCGATATAGTCCATTTGTTATTACTGTTCCGATATGAAATTAACCCCACTAAATGCAGCGTTAACTTTTTTTTACTTCACGTCATCGATTTAATATAAACTGCCAAACAAACTGCAACTCGCTATTGTTGACGTACAGAATAAGAATGAACAAAGTACGGTTCCGAAACGGTTAATCGATTCTAGATCGTATTGCTTACGTCAAATAATATTAATTGAACTGAATTTCGCTTGCAATCCAATTTTTGTTTACAGCAATGTTGTTTACGCCTACTTGATGCCATGTCATGCAAGCGAAATTCGCTTCAATAAACATTCTTTAACGTAAGCGATACGAGCTAGAATCGCTTATCCGTTGCGGTACCTTACTTTGTTCATTTTTATTCTGCACGTCAACAATAACGCGTTGCAGTTTGTTTGGGAGAATTATTTATATTAAATCGACGACGTGAAGTAAAAAAGTTAACGCTGCATTTAGTGGGGTTAATTACATATCGGAATAGTAATAACGGATGGACTATATGAGCCTAACACTAACTAAATTTAACGAATGCAATCAAGATTAAAATGAACAGCGACAGTTTTAGTGAAAACAAAAATCTGTCCAGATAAAATACGTAAAAATGGGCCAGGAATTCGGAGAGAGACAACGGTGGCCACACGCACGATGAATAAGTAAACAACTTGAACAACAAAATATAACTTTAGGTCAATAAGCAGAAAGCGAAGGTGGGCGTAAAGTTTTCTCCCCTTGCTTTTTTGACAATAGTTCCATTCTTAGAGTGGAATTACAGGCACGTAAATGACGTTTGGATAGACATCTTGTCAAGGTAGTGAAAACGAGTGCAAAACTACTTTCGTAAATTGCCAACTTTCATCCACGCGAAAAATAGATGCATGTCTTCCGCGTGCTCGATTTTAAAGGGTGTTACTTACCTTGTTTGGTGAAAATATATTGTCCCTTAGCCTAGTAGAAGCTTCGCCTGTAACAATAGAACATATTTAGACAACGATAAAATGTATAACTATTGGGTTTATAAATTTAAAAATTTAGTATCCATGTTTCAAAATCAAAATGGAGAAATTTAGTGGTTCAATTTTCTTGCGTAAGAAAAAGGGAGGTATTACTTTCACTCAGATCTAGACAGAGATAGAAATGAATTGTAGCTAAAAAAAATTGTAGCGATAGTAATTTAATTTCTATCATTTTTGAAAATTATTCAGTTTGGATGAGGTATTAAAAGTAAGACACATATGGTCGTTTGCAATAAGGAGTTTATCAGGCGAAATTCAATTATCGCACGTGTTTTATCGCGGATTCAATGGGTACAATTCGTCTTAAAAAGCTAAAGAGGATAAAACTTGCGACGGAGATGGTCACAGGCCACTGTCACAACCCACTTTCTTCAAGATACAGGTATTCTTGAAGAGAGAGAATACCGGGGAACGCAATAGACCAAAAGGTCGCTGTGCAGGAACCGATTGCGGACGCTCCTAGTAGAATAATAATAGTAATAAGTGTTACTATAAATATTGTGACTGGCGTTAAATCGGATTTTCCCGTCAATTGGCATATATTTATTCTTGTGCTGCGAACTTTAGGTACATAAAATATGCAAAATCTTGGCTGCGCCCCGAGTTGCAATAATCACTTTAGGTATCGCCTTCAATGTTCATTACGTAATATACTATTGACTCGACTTGAAGGAAATTTAATTATGCATGGAACTCCATTTCGATCGACCCGTTTTCAAACTGCGCCAAAAGTCATCAATACACTGTAAACAAGCACTTACATCGACTGCAATTAAAAACTCGTTAAAAGCAAAGTCTCGGTTCAAAGAAAGCAAAAACGTACAGCTGCAAACGAGCAAACATTACGTCAGTCACGCGATGGTTAAATTCGTAAAGAAGTCCGGAAAATGTCAAGTTTGTTTGAAACGCGGACCACGCAAGATTTCTGGTAATTTAAATTAATATCTCTGAACGCGGCTTTGATATTAATTTCAGTTCAGTGAAGTATTAGATTACCAGGTTCTGTGGAAGCCTAATCCGGACAGTCAATCGATTTTCTGCTGGGATATTATTTGAACTGAGAAATTACATTGTCCCAGTGTCTTAAACTCAAATTATACAAGAGGAAGACTAATCCCGAGGCAAATCCACACTTAAAACCATTCAGAAGTATATATAAGCACACTTGAAGATTTTGGTTCTTCGTGCCGGAGTCAGGGTCGGCCAACGTGAACAATCTTTTTATATTTTCAGGATGGTGAGTAGGCGTTTATCTTCTCAGAACTCACCATCAAACGCAGTAATGATTAAGCCCAAGCATGACGGACGTTTAAAGCTCAAGTACATACTCAAAAGGGGATAAAGGGATAATTAGTTTCATTGACAGGTCGGGCTAACCGGTAAACCGCAATCAATAACAGAAACACAAAATTATATAAAAAAGCGCGCTTTCCGCGTGATTAACTTTTTTTTCCCGAGCGCACTAATCCGACATGAATCTAACATTTTTCGTTTTTCGAACGGCACTCCCAACCAGATCGTAACTGTAATTACTCTCCATTCTCGGCACCGTTTCAATTTCATTACATTTCGCCGTTATCGCTTTAGATTTTGGTCAAATTGATTTTCTTTCCAGAGACCGATTTAACAAAATTGAATTCACAGCGTTACGGATTAATCGGTTTTTTCACCTATCAACTGCTGTACAAGGAATTTACACGAATCAAGAAAACTACGAGGGATGTTCAAAAGATAAGAAAATTTTTTGAGGAATATAGACCAACGAGAAGGCATGAAGTCCCAATGTATCTCATCTCTCTCTCCCTCGATTGTGACGTCAATTATTGTTTATGTTATCCCTATAAAGTATTTTATTCCTTTTGTTTTAGGGAAAGTGTCGTAACCGTAGGCAAAACACTTCCGCTTACCTCGACTTAAACAGTCGTTTTACTCGGCGGAATAGTAAAATCTCCTCTTAGAGGAGTAAATAACTCTCTTATTCACAAGAATGATTGGCTTACAAAAACAAACTTTGTTACGGTCGAACTTTACAATTAGCAAGATTGGCTGTTTTACGCCCGAAAAAAACCTCTCCCCTTCTAGACCTTTTGCCGCCACTTCTTTATCTCAATATTAATGCGTCGTCGAACACCTGCTCTCGTATAAACGAATCGTCGCGTGCTTGTCTCAAATTAATTAGTTCACGCAACGATAACAAAACTTCTTATCGCATCAACCGGATTTAAAAGAGATAACTTTAACAAATACTACATAAAACAAAATTTTGCAGAGGCCCCTAATCTTAGCTCGATTTTAGCTCGAGTTCGTATCCATCCATATCCCAGAACCTGTTTCGCCAACTCAATGGAGTAGATTAGTCTTTTTTTGGGGATTTAAACTGTAGAAAAAAAAGCACGGTGCGAAAATTTCTCAGATTTGCTTTCAAATCCGAGTTCAAATCTTTTGAATCGGTATCGATCTGGCTAAGTTAATTTTGCATTCATATCATGGTAAAGGGGTAGGTAATTGAGATAAACGCGCCCTTCGCGTCAAGTATAATTTGAACAACAAAACTCGGGCATTCGGTACCGACAGAGTGCGCAAAATGACCGACGGGGCTCTCCTTTTTTTTTACAACCATTTAGTAAATGAGGGCTCCGCAAAAAATTACTTTCGATTTCAAGGGTAGGTTTTCATAAATCGCCATTACGTAGCATACCTCAGCTGGCTACAAAAGCAAGCTTTAGCGGTGGGAAAATTTAACGACTCGACGTAGATCTCTTTTACGAGCGTCATGATGACATTAACGCCCGAAAACTCGACAGGAGAGTAGCGTCCGACGTTTTAAATTATATAAATTTTAGAAACTAAGGGCCTAAATTGAATTTCCAAATCCAATTAGCTATTTATATCCCGAGTTTAATCAATGTTCCGGGATTGACCTAAACCTTCCGCATTAAATATTTTACGGCCCATTGATGCAACGGTTGCGTTTCGAAGTTTATTTACCCCCTCGCCCTCGATTTCGGTGGAAAATTGCTGCATGGGATGCTTTCCTGTTTGCGTCTTAAACTTAAAGGAAGGTAGAATTTTACTATGAGTTAATGACTGGGAAAAATGAGGGCATAATTGACGAACATAAACTGTGAATATTTTGAAACAGTTCTCGCATAGTCAAATTCGGAACGATCCACGAGAACCATCAGGTTTCACCGTAACTTTTGAATTTTGCATTCGGCATTTTCACCTTGAAAGACTCCCAAACCTTCAAAGAATTCGTTTTCTGTTCAGAAAAATTTTGGCACATTTGTGGACGTGGTTCGCAGACGAAAAAATGGCTACTTTTATCGCCTCTATCACCAGGGTTGGGGAGTTTGAAACATTCTTTGGATTCTGCTAGAAAATTTCAGGTGCATACCGCATTCCAACGACAACATGCTAGTGAATTAAATCTGAAAATGACAAAAATTAAGACGATACGCGAGATGGACCTTTGGTTACCTATGCGAAGATGGCTTTAAGCGTATTAAATTTCCAAATTTGTCCCTTATCTCGGCCCCATTCACTTTTCCACACATTTGCTTAATGTGACCCCACCCGACCCCATTATCCGGCGGTGGCAAAAATCCCAAAGACGTAAAAAAACTAAACTCAATGAACAAGAAAATGAGATAGGGAAGTTCGTATCAAACGTGACAGGTCTGAAAGAAGATGACACGAAAAGGTATTATTTCTTAAGCACAAATTCTACACAGCGCGATTCAGTTAATACCACCTCACATTTGCAGATGAATTACGATCATATTTTATTAATGTCACTCTAGGGAAGATCAAACGGGCATTCGCAAACCGCGCTCGTAAAAGAGCAAAATTCTCATAAAAGGAAAACGATTTCGCCGAATTTTCTGCAACTCTCTCATTTTAATTAAAACGCCGAAATAGGGTGATCTCATTTATCAAAAATATTGCCGAGATAAACCCTCAAAAACAAACGGTTGGAAACATATGATACCAAACTCCCCATACGCAGTGCCTGTCCATTTTTCATTTTTACTTCATAATGCAAAAGGAACTGTTCTTTGGCGTGAAACGAACCCCCAAACTCCTCGAGTCGGATTCTAATCAAATTACGACAATAAATGCGATCTCAGCCCGTAACAATCTATCATGGCGCCATATTCACGTTAATCACAACTCTGGAGCGGACGTCTTCGGCTCACTGTTGTCTAATAATCATTAGGAGGAGACGGTTGACTGACGGTATCTCAACGCTTAATAATTAATGTACCACTCGCCCCTTTAGAAACAAAATCGATTCTGCGATTAAATTGCCTTTGCAAAGATTTTACAAACTCTTTTCTTGAAAAGGGAAAGAAGCCGGATGAGTCCAAGCGTGCAAACTTTCTCAGATAAAATTCTAAAGGCTTAAAGACTGCGGTTAGCCTGTTCACACGAATCAAACAAAAAGGGAAACTTTCAACAACATAACCTTGCCGTACAGAATAGACAGGTCAAAGTAACTAATCTAACTTTCCCAATCCAGTCTATTTGTAAAGAGTGCGTACAGAATAATGGAACTCTGGGTTTTATGTTTTTGTGTAGGCATCTTTTGAAATTTTCTAAAATTTCTACCCCGATCTAAAATAAATCAACAGTTCCTAAAACGAGGTCGATAAAGTTGGCACCCCCACTTTGCCTAAAAGAAGTAAAATTTTGCCTATAATTTAAGTGCTATCAGGTCCTTTTGTGATAAGAACTGTTGTACATAATTTTAATTAATACACGTGTTCTTTATCGCCGTTAGAAGAGATAACAAAAAAACAGGTGCACGTTTTTTTACGCAAATGCGTTCATGATTTTAGACTTTCTGTCCGTCCGTCTGTGTATATGATATGATAACTCGCAATATTGGTGCAGTACTAATACCAACCAAGGAATAGCATATTATTTAAATGTAATACTATGGTAGCTAAGTGATATAGAAATCCAGTGTAATGATCATGTGACCTATTCCACCCTACGTTCTGTATACTCCTGAAACGGAAAATCGAACGCACCTGAAGTCGCGAATAACTTCTATCTATCACTTTTAAATTTGACGGTGGGTAACATTGAAAACATTTGATTTCACGGTTGTTGCCCTTTCTTTCTTTATACTTTTCGTGTTTTTTTATATTAATTTAATAGTAATTCTGCTATTTGGGTCGGAGACGAATTCAACAAATCAAAGATCATGAAAATCGCTCCAGCCGTTCTCGAGTTATAAGCGGTGTAACATACACGACTTTGTGTCATAGATTAAGATGTAACAAACACTGAAACATCCCCAAAGTACTCAACGTTCTTTTCTTTTACGAGTTCTGAGCTCATTTCACACAAGATCTAATTGCGAGTCTAATTGTCTGCCAAAGTTACTGCTGGAGAAAGACAAACGACATTCATAAAATGTTTCTAAATGAGGTCCGTCAATCAAAGCAAAAATAAACAATAATTCAATAAACTCGACGAAAGTTAACAAATAATAAGTCGGCATTTTGTTTGTTTCCCCATTCATCTCGCTTAATCGAAGCGAAGCAACTCGCAGTGACGCATTTCCTTAATATCGATTTACCAAAAAGGGCGCACAAAAAAAATATTTCGCCGCATAATTAAGTTATTAATCTGAATAAAAGATTAATTATCGCTAAGATGTCCCGAAACGGGGGTCTGATTAAAAACGTTATCATAAGGAAAAGTTTTGCAATGACAACCGATTTGGATTGAGGCCAGAAAGTGGGGCTGGTGCATTGCGGCGATCATTTTCGTACTTTCCCATCGAACCTCGTATAGTCGTTTCGATTATGGAAGCGGAAAAACAAAGCGGACGTTAATCCGACAGCCGACACGTCAATAACTTTACCGGTGCTATAAATAAGGGAGTGAATTTTAATTACTCAATTAATACAGCCCGCTTCTGGGCTCTCATTTCAAATTCTCGTTCGTCAAGAATGTATAAATATGTAACAGGCAGTTAAGAGAGTGACTTCAACGTTCGATTTCTGAATTTAAATTTAACTAAACAATCGGCAGACGCGAACCATGAAATTAAATCGTATTCTTGAATTGAAAGAAGAGAGGCTTTTGATTTGGTCCAATTTAAATTTTTTGATTTTCGGAACAAGACATCAGAAACAATTTGAATTTCATATTTCGCCGCTGAGGTTTTCGACGTCAATAATATTATATTATCTTGTAACAGACGTCATATACGAAAATGCGTGGTTGGGCGAGAAAAAGGACTCTTTATATATATAACGAGATTTTGGGAAATTGCAAATGGAGACCACTAAAAGTTGGACTTACCCAGCAATTGATTCCTCAGACGGTGTTCCTGCAAAGAAAAAAATCGGTTTTAATACCTCATTGAGAGAATGTTTTGGAAAATAAACAATAATTCATAGGAATTTCAACTATTAGTACAGTAGACATTTAAATCTGCTGAGATCAGAAATGACAATTTTATAAGCTGCATCAGTTCCCTATAATTTCTTCTAGATCAAATTGGTAAAGCAACTGCACAAGACAACAAATGTATCATAAACCGTCTGACATATGACATTCTCCTGATATAAATTTCATATTTAATAAGTGACTTACTGACAAATACATTTTCTGGAATCGTAACTTCTTTTCTTAGATGTCAAGATCATAAGTGCGAAGGAAGATGTATACGTAATTTACTGTGGTGGTCGAGTTTTATGTTCTCCCGATACAAATTTGCATTTGCTGAAATATTTTATTAGGGTCCCAAAAACATAAGGATGTGCAATACTACAGGTCAAAAACGCAAGGAAATTTGACATTTCTGACAAAATAAGGAAGTGAAAGTGCAAAATTCACCTTCATGTATAATGATTTCCTAATACAAGAATCTCTGTTTTTAGATATAAAAAATGCAAAGAAGTGTACTATATCTGGCAAAATAGCAACTCCCGTAGCTTGCCTGATACAAATTCCTCTTTAAAAGTAACACTATCAGAATCGCAGAGACGAAAAGAAGTGCAGATTTTTCTTACAGTCTTCCACGTTCTGCTGACACAAAGCACCCGTTTAAAAAACCTTGCATTGGGATCACATATGCCAAAGGAGGTACAAACTCCAAATTTCTGTGCAAAGAATGCCCCACCAACCTCAAAGGCACGAAAAGACTAATGCTATTGTTTAACGTCTTTCGTGTATGATCTCTTGAAGAAACGGTTATTGATGTATGTAAGTAGTAAAGGTCCGACCGTGCTCCGTTGTGATTGGCTCCGTCATTTTGTAGGGATAAGTTTAAATTTGTGCGGGAGGTTTGAATTTTTTACTGTGGTTGGCTGTGTTATTCGTCAATCGTAAATTTCTAGCCAAATTTGGAAGAAATCGACTGCCCGTCTATCAAGAAATTGAAGAAAGAAACACAATCATATCGCTGGCTCCATCATAATATTGAAGAACCTGTGTGTGCCTTAGAAACTTCTTCACAATTGAATCAAAATCTACAAATGAACGAGGTACAGATTTTGTTATGAATTCCGTTTGTGAAAAAGAATATGGCTCGAGGCTATGCTCGGGGCGATATCTTAATTGTGAAACCAGTCGATCAGAAAATCCAAGTACTTACATGAAAATTTTACGGGTATTTTACATTTTCCTAAACGTTTAAAACCCTAATGGTGACAAAGGTATTGTAAGTAATGCCTATTTGTGTAGTATATAATATATATAATATACAGTGCTATTTATTAAGAAGTAGACATAGGGATTTATGCGAATTATTTGCCCTATGTCTACATTTAAATGACAAAATTTCTTCTGAGGTGCGCCTATAATTTTATGCAACCTAAATAACTTCTTAAGACAAATACATATCTGGCTGTCAGATTAATTAATTTGAATATTGTTGCTTTGTTTATAAATTAATAAAAAAAGCAGTCACATAACATTTTTCAGTTTCGCCAACGAATGACGAAATATATGTATGTAAAATTACACCAAATTTCCAGAAAAAGAAGTGAACTTTTAATTAAAATTGTGGAAAATTTTTTAATTGAAAACGTGTTATTAAGGTGCCCTCTATCGATTTTTATCAATTTCATGATCGTACCTGGGAGGCTTATTAGCGTCACGTAACCAAAGATTGCTCTGATCTTCTTAATAATAAATATAGTAGAGTAGGAAATACGAATGTGATAGTTGGAAACAAAAGTGGGTAGGTAAGTAGGTACTAAAGGTGGATGGACTCGTCAGCTTTAGTGCCCATTGATCGCCTTTTACGATCTCCAGGGCGAGAGTGGGCCAATTCTATCCCCGAACCCACAGGGGAATTATTATTTATTAAAAAAATGTTTATTATTTTTTTCTTCAAAATGAAGAACATTGTCTTAAATTTCCAAGCATCCTGTATTCATTGTTGATCAATTGATACATATGACACATGGCATAAGTCTTATTTACACAAATTCTAAAAATAATCAGTCGTACTATTTGCAGTAATTTATTTTATAAAGGAATACTTACACTTTCAAAAAACTGGAAAAAGCTAGGAAACCGCGGGGCTTGGGGAAATAAAGTTAGTCCAAAATTAGTAAGTATACAATGAAAAATAAACACTAAGGTGTCTAATCACTAAATATAGTTGCGTGTATTAAAGTTAAACTATTAATGACCAGAGTTGGACTGGGTCACTGGGTCAACTGGGTCACCTGGGTCACTAAACTAAACTGGGTCACTGGGTCACGTCATACTCTTTTCAGTTAGACCCAGTGACCCGGTTTGACCCAGTGACCCAGTTTGACCCAGCGACCCAATTTCACCCGGAGACCCAATTCGACCCAGTAACCTAATTTGATCGAATATCGCAGTTAAGTCAGTGCCCTCGGTTCAAGTGTACAGATTATGAAATAAATGAAATGCTGGTTTGTTGAAAATAATACTCGATTGCTTGACAACTGCCATTTCTGTGATGTTTGCTTTAATACTGCCGTAAAAAACTTTCCATGTACCGAATTGTATTAGAATAATGTTATTTCTAAACAGTTCCCTCCTTCATTTCTTTGATTCAGGGCTTACCAGTTTGCTTACAGGTATTCATTCACATTTAATTTTTTTCTACTAGTTAGCTTAATCCAAATAAATCTTTTCTCTAAATACTTTCATTGACTACTTGACTACAAACTATAAACAAATGCATTTGATTTTTTTAGGGAAGTATTAGTTCTCTTGAATGAAATTGGGCTACGTGCTTGTTGGCGAATATTATTGAGGAAGTTTTTTTTTGAATTGAAAGTTACTTGAAATTGTTTCGGATGATACCTAACAATAATTTAATTACTGGGCCACCGGGTCAAGACGGGTCACTGAGTAAAGCTGGGTCACTGGGTCACCGGGTCAAGCTGGGCTACAGGGTCAAACTGGGTCACCGGGTCAAGCTGGGTCACCGGGTCAAACTGGGTCACTGGGTCTAGCTGGGTCACCGGGTCAAGCTGGGTCACCGGGTCAACTGGGTCACCGGGTCACTGGGTCAGTAAACTAACTGGGTCACCGGATCACTCTATGCTTGACCCAGTCCAACTCTGTTAATGACCTGGTGTTGTATTGCTAATATGAAATCGTCAGTCGCTTAGTCCAAGCTAACTAGCTCTAAATTATTTTAAAGAAATTAGTTCCCGATCCAAACTGCGTTTTTCATGCAGGTGAAATGATAGGAAATTGGGAAATAGTTATTTGTACAACTAGAGAAGAAAGTGGAAAAAATCACTTTATTCTCAAGTTTTATACATAATTTTTTCTGAAGCTCGACAGCAAAATGACATTGAATGCACCCCTTTTAGAGACCACAGTAGTTGTTTCTAAAATAGTTTCAGAAAAAAAAATAATTAAAACAGCTGAATTTTCTCGCAGGCGAAATCGTGGAATGTTAAAAGGGGTGGAAAATTGTATTTTGCAATTTGTAGCAAACGTATTCATTTTGCTATCTTTATTTTTGCGAAAAGGAAGAAATGGAGCTTTTTTTATGGCAAAAAGAAGCCCAATTTTTTGGACTGGTAACGTGGACCCGTTTCCGAGGTATTCACGATTTTCTTTTTCAGGAAGATAAAAAATCTATTTTCTTCATCGTAGAGGACTGCACGGGATAGCAAAATTTTCGTAAAGACTTACGTTTTAATAATCAAAAATCAAAAAAAAGTATTCCAATACAAAAATATTGAGAACGCCCTCAAAACTGAAAAAATGGTTTTTCGATATACACGCTTTTTGACATGATAAATAACTTTTTTTTACAACTAAATCAACGTGTTGGATCCGAACTAATAAATATTTTTCGAAACCTGTCTTCTCTCTGATGTTGCTAAAAATTTTTCTGTTGTTAACGAAAAATTTAGTAACATTATCCATTATCCAACACGATGACTTAGTTTATCATTTCAAAAAACCTGTAATCGAAAAACTGTTTTTTAGTTTTTGGCGATTTTCTCGAAATGTTTGTATCGACCTGATCTATTTTTATTTTTGATTATTAAAATAGTCTACGAAAATTTTGGTACTCAGTGCAGCTCTGTACAATGAAAAAAAAATAGATTTTCCACCGCCCTGTAAAAGATGCGGGTTTTTCGAAAATCGTGAATATCTCGAAAATGGCTTAACTGTCATAAAAAAGCGAGATTTTCTCCAAATTTCAGACTTTCGAAAAATTTGAGGTTACGTGAAAAAAGTGTATAGAGAGGAAAATTGTTGATATTTTATTCCCTGCAAGTGAGGAATTAGGTATATAATATTGTTCCTGCTGACTTTGTATGTTAAGGCTACTTGTAACCCAGGAGTATAATGAGTTGCTCCCTGCAGCTTCTGGAATATTTGGTACAACCTTTTTGTACTCCATATAAAATATTTTTATCAGTATAGTGTTTGCATAATTTGTTTGTCAGGATTTTGTGTAGAGAATTTTCAAGGAGCATACTCACTCTTAGCCCATTTACTTTCTAGATTTATCAACTGCGAATTTCCAATTTCATGCCGAGACGAACGAACCGCAGCTAAAATCATATCCTACCGTAAATGAATAAGTAAAATGATCTAGGAGAACTAAACCGACACGGACGTGGCAAATATGTACAGGAGACCCCCGTCAAACGATGACAATCTGCCAAAAAGAATAACGAAGGGCCGCCCGCGAACGAAATAATTTCGTCTTCGCAACCGCAGAGACGTTAAGCGAAATGTAAATAGTTAATGCCGTACACGTGAACGCAATCCTGTAACAAGCTAATTTAATTACACAAACAAGCAGAACGCGGTGATTTGTGATCCTATTCAAAAACCCTCGCCAAGTTCAACACAACAATGGGCAGATTA